CCCCCCCCCCCCTCCCTTTGCGGAAATCTCCCGGATTCAGAATCCTTGAAGTTAGCAGGTGTGTGTGCGTGTGTGTGTGTGTGTGTGTGTGTGTGTGTGTGTGTGTGTGAGAGAGAGAGAGAGAGAGAGAGAGAGAGAGGGAGAGAGAGAGAGAAAATGGCCATTGAAGGTTTAGGTCTGTAGTGGCTCATCTGGAATGAGCTAACATGAATTACAGACACTCTCATGAAGGTGCATTTGCAAGAAACCAATCTTTCTTTAATAGAGAAGCAGCTTTTGGCAGCACAAGGGTAACAAGCATTAATAGTAAAGTCTACTTCAGTCTCCAAAGCCTCATCTACTCCAGCTACCCAAGCAAACATTGCAGCTTTGTTTGTTCACGCAGATACCACCAGGACACTTCCGACAACAGTAAGGACACCAGCAACAATGCTCCGGTTCAGATTTTGACATGTGCTCGCTGCAGGAGTTCTTTGAGAAGGTGAACTTATGTCTGTGGAAAGATGTCATGGAGTGTAAGAATATCATAGCCGTTTTGGGTGAGAGGTACTCCGTCACCGAGCCCATTCGACATCTGGAACGCATTAGCAACACCCTTAAAAAGATGTTTGCTTTAGTCGACGAACAGCTGTGACTTCAAGAGCCCTAAGCAACCTCTGAAAAACAAAGTGCATTAATCTCTTCTGGCATTTCACATCTTTCCGGCACAATTCATGATGCCAGTAGTCTGTTCATGTGCTGCCATTAGAAAATAAGCTCTTCATTGGTGCAATATATGAGGAACATCATTTGCAAATCATCTCTTACCCTGCTTTGCCATGCAATCACACGCCCATCCGGCCTTGTCTCGCGTGACTCTCATGTGCGATCAACTGATTTCACTTTGTTTTGTGCATTTTCGACTATGAAGGCACAGATAACAGCGTGTAGCTAAGAAGAGTGGATGCCTGATAGCCTCAAGGCTTAGTGCCAACATTCTCCACGTGTTTCATGACAACATAATTGGCAAGCAGAAGATAGCACCTGTAAAAAGGGTATCAAAGGCGAGAAATAAACCCCTCTTTAGTCAAACCCGGAGTGGTTCAGGGTGCTGAGTAGTGAGATGTGGACTGGCATGTAGAGTGCCCCGAGGAGAATATAAAGAAGTGTATCTATGTGGCGGTTGTTACTGTAATAGGATCAGTGTTGGGAAGTACCCAAATCAGTGATGAACCATATCCTGCACCAAGTTCACTCCTCTTTGCAGGATCTGACAGTGAAGTTGACTTTCCCAAGTCTGAAGGTACTGGGGATTGTGGCCGACGGCTAGATGGAACAAGCATAATGTGTTACAGTATCAGCCTCCACCATTCAAAACAAAGTCTAGTTCATGTGCATCCTGTCATATTAAGCACACGGCATTCTTGATTCAGTGACAAAGGCGCAGCATGTGGAAGCAGTCTCCTCTGCGTCAAATTTGCCAGTTCGGTGCCTGTTTGCATGACTTGTTCACCTCACTGCAGTGCGGCCTTTGTACCATTGGAATCAACGGCCTATCGTTCTCGTTCAGCCGATCAGCCTGTCAGCATACCAGCTACTGGCAAACAGTAACTGCAACAAGCATCTGGCCTAATTGTATGTTGATGATGAGGTGACATCATCTACATGGCACACAACTGTGCTAGTATATAGCATCAGAACTGCACCGTTTGCTTTCAGTGTAGCCACCCAAGGCACTTTCTGAAATAATGTTTTAAAAATGGTTGCCAGTAGGTAGTGACAGGGTGAGTGCTTACAATGCCATGGTGCAAATTGCATCTGTAGCCTGAAACACAAAGCCACTGCTTGATGTTCGACTGGGGAGAGAGGCATTGTGCACTGCGCCGAACACAAGGTCCAGTGTGAGCCTGCTTGGTGTATCAGCAACCAGTGTTGCATGATCTTCTGGAGCCAAGAAAAAATGCAAAGTTTTGACACTTGGCCTGGCATCATGTTGGTGGTCTCAATACACCACAGCTGCCAATTGCAAAATAAAGTGGGATGGTGGGCCACATGTTCAAAGATTTCTTTGTCTGCCAGATTGATGCTATACTAGAACTTGGTTGAATGCTTGAAGTGTTCTTGTTCATCTGCCACTTATATGCAAACCATTGGGTGTTTGAGTCGGTGCTGCAAATGTGCAATGTAACAGAGTTGCCTGTCAATAAATTGTGTGTGCATTTAAGCACATGAGCAAGCGAGAAAAAGAGGTGTACAAGAGTGGGTGAAGAGTCAAATTAGGGCCTGATGAGAGAGAGGGCCAAGGGCTAGTTGCTGGCATGATGAGGTCAAATAAGAAAAATGTTTCACCAGCTAGGCCAATTCTGGTATAATTAAGATGTAATAAGTCACGGTGGGATAGTGAAATTTATTGTTACTTATGAAAAATGGCCAGTTACCTGCTGGTGATTAAGAGCGAGAAACAGAAGAGCACTCTTTGTCTTGTCAGAACGCTGAAAATTTCTAGAAACTTTCCTCGGGGACGGACCAACACGTGTGTCACCTCCAACAGATTCCATTTGCAAAACACAAGTTGTGGGGAAAAAAATGGAAACAGCCGATGGAAGAAAAGGGAATTGCCAGATTAGCACTGCTATCTTTGAAACCGCGCATGGAATAGCTCACAACAAGCATGTCTTGTTCAACACACCAGCAAGATATGTAAAGCAGATGTGCTACACTCGTCCAAAATGATAACGCAGTTGGGCACTTATTCATGATTGTCGGCAGGATTTTCTCTTGGGGAGTGCGCACCAGTGTTGCATCGCGGGTAGGGGAGGGAGAAAGCACTAGTGTAGCTTGGGTGAGGGCAAGTGCCAGTGAGGCTTGAGGGGGGCAAGTGCCCCTTTTGCAAGCCCCTGCTGACACCCATGCCCATAGTATTAGTCTAACAATAAAGAAGTTGCAAAACTAAAGCTAGCTTGTACTATATGTTCTATTTTGTAATAATAAAATCTTAATTTTGTAAAATGCTCAGTATTTTTACTACAGATGTTAACAAAGTACATAATACTCTTAACAAGCTTGTAAACAAGGCTAAAGAAGCGAGTTGGGTATGTTGGTACATAATTGAGAACTGGGGACAGTGCAAGAAAGAAAAGCGTGAATGGAGCAGGATAATATAAACATTTCAGGCTCTATCTGTGGGTCTTTTTACATGGCAACCTTTATCAATTACGTAAACGTGGCTACTTAGCTGGTACAGCTGCAGTCAGAATTTTAGAGACCAAGGGAGTGTGTGGCAAAAAAAGTACTGCAGCCCTTTCTGATGGCAACTTGCAAAGCTTTAGAGGATGCACGTCCTTGTTGACGTGCCAGCCTGCTCGTTTGCTTGCTGCAACTGCACACGTATACCATGCAGTTGCAGAGAGCAAATGTGCAGTTGGAATGTCAGACCAAAGTGATTGGTGCCACTTGCTCAGCTTCCATGAAAAGACCGAGTGATTTGCCTGAAATAAAAAATAAATTGGCACAGCTTGCAATAAGTTGCAGGGCAGTGCCACAGCAGAGCTGGCTTGGCTTGGCTTTTCCAAGTTCTGATAAGTGTAGCTAAGTCAACTGATATGTGCATCCATACATGGCTAGACAAGGTATTCGTTTTCGTGTGATCTCTCTCATAAGTGAAGCTTTGGCCACTAGCTTATCGTATGGCATTAACTGGGTACTGATTAACTATTGTGCAGCAGCATTTATCAACTTGATTCCATTTGCTTAATTAAGCTAATTAGTATATCTGGCTTATTCTGAGTAACTAACATTGCCAACTGCAACCTGAACTTCATTAGTTACTTAGTTCATTAGCATCAATTAGGCTTAGTCTTCAGTGGCAGTAGTCTTTGCAAGGCCTGTCTCCACAATATCTTCTGGGCTCAGCCTCACTAGCTACACTAAAGAATTCGTCTAGTTTTAATTATCATTAAGTAGATTCTGACTTAGTTGTGCTTAATAAGGTACTACCATGCTCAACTGGACTTTATTCGGCTTGGCTACCATTTCTTTTTCTTAAGCTCTGGGTAAATGTCTATTTGAAAAAAAAAAAAACTGATGTGAAGCGTGTTTTTCGTGCCATGCTTAGCATCTGAGGACAAGGAGTCCAGTGCACAGAAGACTGCCAGTGCAAGTTAGGCAGTCTCATCAGAATATCATATCTTGGTGCCTCCATAGCAACTGCAGAAGTGGCATCTTGCACTTTGGCATTCTGGTATGCATGCAGTTGAAGCAAGAGAACAAGCAGGCTGTCAGTAAAAAGGATGTGCAGGCGCATTGCATGCTCTTGAGCTTCGTAAGCAGTCATCGGAAAGCACTGCATTACCCTTTCCTATGCGCTCCCATGATCTCCCTAAATTTTTACCGCACATGCAAAGGTAGATGTTTATAATGAATGAAAAAGAAGGTTAAGGAATGGAGCTTCTATCTAAAGTGGCTGACCTTGTGACCATTTGGAGAAATGTATGGTGCGAGTGTATGTTAAAAAAGCATGACCACTGTGCACTCTCTCTCTCACGAATGTTTCAAATCGCATGTATATATATGAAACACTGTATATGTTTACTTTACTATGTCTGGTGTGTTAGTCCTATGCTAGTTACATTTTCACCAACAGGCCCATGTTGCAACTTTCCTTGGAGAAGAGGAAGAAGGGCATCTGTCAATCAACACACTTATGTTGTCAATATCTGGACTTCAATATTATGTAGAGAAAGAGCTTTCTGGGGAATTCCTGCAGGCTTATCTGAGATCATGAAATTATAAACATCTTCATTTTAACTTGCCTTATCTCCCACAGATCATTTGTACAATTGTCTACAAGGGAAGATTTAATGTGTGCATATTTAGAAGTGATAAATGTATTGTTGAGACCAAAACGACTTCCATACGGTTTCTTTGTCATGTAATTACCTAGATTATTACTGAATATATATGTAGAAAAAGCATGGGAAAATTAGAGAGATTCTAATGTTTAATTTTTCTCTTATTTTTAGACCTGTTCAAGTCTTTGGAATGCCACACCCTTTTTATACCAGCTTTCAAGCGACCCCTTTTAACGGACTTGTCACTGGTAAGTACGAGCTTATTCCTAGTTGTCTTCGCTTATTTTTATGTGCACTCACCATGGTACTGTGATGCTTGACCTTTCACCAAAAGGTCGTGGAGTTGAATCTCGGCCATGGCAGTCACATTTCAATACAGTTTAATGTTGTGTTTAGATTTAGGTGTCTATCAAAGAAACACAGCAGGTGGAAATTCTCTCATGATCATGTTGTGGTTTTGGGGATATAGCACCGACAATTATTTATTTTTATGTTCAAATAACCTACAATGCTGGTAACCTTTTGCAGGGTTGTGCATAGAATGAAATAATACTTCATAGTTATATGAATGAATACAGGCTGCAGTTATGTTTAAACATATTGTGTATGGCTTGACAGCGTATATTCATTTTTACTGACCTGAAGAACTGAAACTGTTTAAAAGATGCCCGGGCACTAAATGTGATAGAGACATCGTATAATCGTGAGGTGGATTAATAGGTAGGTTGTATTCAACCAACCTTGCAAACATTATAAAGGTTTATATAGCTGCCATACAAATGCAATCTTTAAATTCAGCCTTAAAGTCTTGACAATGTACCACGGCCAAATAGGCTTGAGATACTCAGATTATTTTTGCATATCTATGGTTAATTGGTGGAAATACATGATAACTTGATTAAATGATTATTGATTTTTATTGTTAGATTTTACAGTTGGTCATTTCTGTGGAAAACAAATCCTTGAGAGATATGTACGAAGCTTGTGTTCTGTAATGTTTACTTAGAGTTTGTCACCAAACATCAACCTACTGTTAGTAGGGTCAGATTTTTGAAATATTTAATGTGAATGAAGTGGTCGAGACATTCCAATTTGTGATGTTTGGTTTTCAAATGATATAGAATATTTTCAAATGTTCATTAGTAGTCAAGATTATTTCTGTGACATTCTCATTGAATGTTCACTAAAAAATTTAAATACTGAATTAATTTAAAGCTATTAAATCACTATGGCAAAGTCCACGCAAATCTGACTTTTTGATGAGCATTGTTGATGTGCTCATGGAATAATCTTCGAGCAATCTGGTGCACCATTCACTTTTTCATGATGGCATGTTGTGCAATAAAGCTGTTTTGCTAGGCTTTGTTCAGTTTTTTTTCAGAATCACTACTTCATTCGGAATATTTTTCCTTAGGTACCTAGCTCCAGAATAAGAGACATCGCGTTCTTCTGTTTTAATTTGCATTTAACTCCTTTTAGGGATTGCGTCTGCAGTACTTACTAGTCTGATTATGGTGAGATTTTTAATCCAAAGCTGCACTAAGGTTGTGCATGTTCCATTTTCTGCTGTTATTTTTATGACTGGGCACTTCTCTTAAAGGACACCAAAGACAAATATTACGTCGATGTTGATTGCTGAAATAGCTGTCCAGAAGCCTCGTAGTACTGCTTTTGTACCAAGAAAGTGTTTATTTTTGAAATAAAATCATGTTCTAGTGGCCTATATCACATAAGCACACTTCAAGCTACCCGCCTCAAAGTGGACACTGTCACGTCACTGTTGCCATGCACAATGTTGCCCAGCTTTACCTGCGCGGCCTCCGACACTAGTAGCGGCAGAGCGAGAGTAGCGGGAGCCACAGCAGCAACAACAGCAATCGGGCAATTTTTTGCCATGGCCTTCGAGATGGCAGGCGTGCTTGGTTCAACTGGGCCCCGCTAGATGACAAGGCCTGTTCAGTTTAACTAGAGTTACTGTATATGCACCCTATGGGAGCAGAGTTGTGCATAGGTCCGCCATTATGTTTCACGGCTGTGCAGTGAAGCCATTTGTCGAGCACGCAGGAGAAAAATACGGTGCGATGTTCAGGCACGAGAGCGTTCCGCAGACGTATTCGTGCGCACTGAGCAAGATTGCACTGTCGCAGTGAGGTGATATATTGCTATAGGTTGCGAAAATGCTTGAGATTTAGGTGCTTAGATTAGGTGCATGTTATGAAAACCCAAGTGGTCGAAATTTGTAGAGCCCTCCACTACAATGTCTCTCATTATAATGTGGTAGTTTTGGGACGTTAAACTGAACCAATTAAAAAATGTGAGTGAAGATCATTGAAAAGGTAACTCATTCGAAATAAAGCCGCTGCCACGGTTTTTACACCAACATACGATGCACAATGTTTCTGAAATAACAATTTTGAGTGCTCGGTACATTTTGACCCTGCTAGATGGCGTTACCTATCCAGTCTGTCGAGGGCAAACATGTCTGCGGCTCGATGTTCTGGCCATTCTAGCTTTGGTAATTCAGCTGAAACAATGTAATCGCTATTGGAGCTCGCGCTTCTGCTTATTTTGACAGGATGTCTGGAGTCTCCGCAGTGCTGACATCGCAAGTTCCTACAACAAAGGGGGATTTGCGAAATAGCACCGCCAACGTAAAGCCTTCTGGCAGGTAGTTTACGTTACGTAAAGGTTTACGTTCTGTAAAGACCCGACCATGCACAGATTCTATTTGGTGACACGTTAACGTAAAGAAGTATATGTACAAGCTAAAAGCCCCTAAAGGCAGTCACGATGAAGTCAAGGCAGGCAGTAAACTCGTGGGCGTCGCGCCATCGGGCATGTAAGTTGGCTTTGGTGCGAAAAATGGAACATTTAACGTCACTTTTCATCACGTGACAGCGCTTGCCGAATAGCGGCGTGAGCGGTAAGGAAATGGTATGTGCAACTCTCCTACCTTAAGGTAGCATATACTGTAACTATAAGTTTAACCAGGCGAAAATGGAACTTTTGGACCACTCGCACCATTTACCATGGTAACGTACGGCGGTTCCTTCTACTATAAATCAACAGAAACAGACACGGAGCATTTTGTTATGTCTCTTGATGCACTAAAGCTCTTTCTTTATTGCAGCTAGTGTGATTACTAGTGATTAATTGTAGTCAGATGCTCTGATGTCATCAAGATCATTTGCAAATATCCCACTGATGGGCCTGTCGTAGGGTACATTTAGCTCAATTTCTTGGCAAGTAGGGCACTGCTGTTGACGATGTTGCAGTTCTAGATGTCATACATTAAGCTTTCACTCTGACATAAATTGTTATTTGCCTTCAATGTCCTTTCAAGTTGTGCAGGTCACTCTAATTTACACTTTTGTTTTTGCTCTTGCTCCTTCTTGTTATTTTCTGTGCATTATAAAAGTAAAAAGTCAATATATGTGCTGCTCCGAGTTTTTTCTCATCTTCAATTCTATGTCTACTTATCAGACAATTTTGTAAGACACCTGCCCCTATTGCCATCCACTTCATCTAAATTCAGAATTGTTACTCTACAGAGAACAACTTGCTAAATAGAAGAAAAAATCAATGTATCGTACAAATGTTTATATGGAGGAAATTTCTTGGAATTAAATTGGGCAGTAGAACCTGCCATGTTCTTCGCAAACCTACACGTGAAACAGCTGCAAGTGTGCTTCACCTCCTCTCTATTTATTTTCGTAATCATCTGCTTTATGGTTGTCTTCAGGGAAGTTTTTGTGTTATGGTGCTTTGCATTAACCTTTGCCTTGGCAATGCCCCACACATAATGGTTCAGGAGTTGGCATTTGGGGATAGAGAGAGGTCAAAAGACTGGCAATCAGTGGCAAAGCACATTATAACTTATTACCATCTGCACACATAACAGGCGTTTTGTTCTCTTGTTGGAGAGATGAGTTACCATCTGCACACATAACAGGCGTTTTTGTTCTCTTGTTGGAGAGATGAGTTACGCTGGAAAACACACGGCATCTTCTCTGCATTTGGCTGCCTTGGGCAGAGTAAACTTTGTAATCAAGGAGAATAAGAATACCTTGTGAGTGTTGGTGATAACAAGTCAAAAGCAGCGCCAGTGAAAATGGAAATCAACTTCCACTGCCCCTGCGAGGGTGGAAAGGGAGGGCCTATAAAATCAATTTTCGCGTGGCCTCTGTTGCGATCGCATGGGGAAACTGAAGCCATGCAAGGGCGTTGTGCAGATCAGCTGATGTACTGGCACTAGAAACAAGCTCTCTTTATCTCCCACAATAGGCAGCACAATCATGTCGTACGCTTCTTTTCTGCGCTGGTAGGTGGCAGCACCTTCGAGTGAGCATGCACCATCATAGGAGAGTGAAATTTCATACGGAGGTGTCAAAAACATATCCGTGTGGCAAAGACACTGCGAGACAGAATACCCTTGCCGTTCATGTATGGCAAAACAAGTGAAAGACGTTAAAGGGTGAAGTAAAAATGCAATTCAGCAGAATTAAAGCTCTTTTCTAGTGGACTTACCTAAACGATGCCTTGGTAACTATGCCTTCTATTGAGGAGGTTACGGCTAGGCTGGCATATTTATATGCAATGTGTCCACCCCAAAATTAAAAAGCAGTTTACCAATAGTGTGTATTAGGATGTTTCTGCATTTATTGACCTTGTCAAAGAAGGAAGGATTACCTCCTTACTGGGACTGTTGCATAGAAGTACAAAATCTGATGTCACAGCCTAGGCTGTGCATTTTGGGGGGGTCACTCTTGTTAACAACAGCCCAGAGAGATATGGCAGTGCCAAGGAAAACTCTATTGATTGACAAGGTGCATATGACAAAAGAAAACTGCAGTTAACATGTATATTATGGCAGCAGACGATGGTGCTTTATCTTTATTCCAAGTAAAGACCAAAAGAAAAAATGCACTTGACCAGCCTGTGTGTTGCTGTTTTGCTATTGGTTTGGTTGTAAGGCTACATAAATGGACATTGAAAATCTGTAAGCCATCTTTCTTTTTTAGGTGTCTCTCTTTGTTTGAAAATATAGGACCATAATCCTTTTTTTTTAAATAAGTTACCTTTTTTTGTGACCATGTTTTTGGGAATGGATTGAGTGGCTTGCAATTGTGATATTGGTCACTGATCTGTGAATGGCTTTAGTGAAACTGGTTTTGGGGCTGTGCAGGCATCAGAAGAAGATCTCACCGAGGAGTACATTGAGGAGCGAAATGCACTCACAAAGAAATTGCGTGAGGTGTTGGTGCCAAAACGAAAAATGGTACGAGCTGTCTTTCATCTGCTTCTCTACACTGCATCTAGTAGACTGAACTGATCTTCTGAAATTGCAATACATAGCCTGGAATGAATGCCATGAACGAGCAGTTTTTCTGGTTTCCATGGATACAGTATGGTGTTAGAAAGTCGCTAATTGGGTATATAGCCACTGCCAGCTAGCACTGACTGCTTGCCTAGACTGCATGCTGGCAGCTGACTAGCAGTTTTATAGGCCCTGTCACACAGCAACCACTGAACTTCATTTACCTCCATTCAGCATTCAACTCCCTAATAGAGGTTGACGAGGATAGAGTTGTGGCTATGCTACACGGCTTAGTGCAAGCTTTCGGCGGGAGCCTTCTCGGAGCAGAAATGGCGCTGCTCGCGCTTGTCGAAACATCCAATATTTCACTTAGGTAGTCACCTTCAAAGCAACGTACACGTGTATCTCTCTCTATATATTTTTTGCATGCATTTTGATAAAACTGAAGGAATAAAGTATGCGAGAAAGTACACTGTGCACGGTACAAGCATCTCGCATGTGTGTAACCCAACAATACCACGCAACACTTGCCCGGTGGCGGCTTGACAAATCGTTAGGTGTAGAAGGTACAAAAAATCGAGTTGAAACTTGCACTACACAGTGTGTAATGCTACACCGCACAAAGTGTAATGTTAAAATTTATAATTAAGAGTACTAAGACAGTTTTGTTAGCACGGTTATCTTCCTAGCAAAAGCTATGTGGGAACGAGAGTACTCCATCTAGCCCAAGTAGTCATTACCGAACTCCCTTTTCCAAAAGCTCTATTTAACTGCACGGGGAAATGAGGCATTGTAACATGAACCGCATCTTTTCGACAAAAGACACTGAACACGGACTTCGTGGTGGCCGTGTGACAGGGGTATTAGTCTAATACGAAGCCTGATTCTTCAGCAGAGTGTAACGTTGAGCGAGTTGGTGCATATCTTAATAAAATATTTAGGCGCAACTGATACTAGCAAGGAAAAAAAAATGAAGGAGACATGGTAAGGGCAACCAGGACTTTCAACTCGTTTTTTTCCTCACTCACCCAAATATATATGCCGAGAATGCGCACAAAGAGGGGGTGCAGCACAAGCGCTATCAACATTGCACGCATGGAAACTCAAACAGAAGAAAGCTATCACACAGCGCTATCTAGAAACAGGTATTCCTTTTTGTACAAAGTGATCGACAGGACACTGACGCTTCGTTCCCCTCCTTTGTATGTGATCTGCATATGCCTCAAGTATGTCACATGCTAACGTTACTCTGCTTCGTCCTAACACACATTGTTCTCGGAACAGTGGTGTGCCAAGCCGCACGAAGCACATTTTAATGGTGGGTGTTCTGCCAACTTTTCCACTTTTCCCTGCTTGTGTTGCAGCTATTCTTGAGCCATTTTCAAAGGAAAGGGTCTTTCTCTCCGCTGCCCACTGATTGGTGGCATAGCGCCATCAGTTGCCGACATAGCGCCGAAGCTTTGGTTGCCAACAACACATTCACTATCATTAGCGGCTACTCCTCGCACGTCCAAAAAGGTGTTGGCAAATGCACAGTCAAACGACGCAGTTTCATTGTTCGAGGGCTGTAATCACTGCAGTAGTGAGCGCAGCGCACCAGGTGCACTTGAGCATGAAACACCAACACCAGCCTCACTTGAAACGATGGAGCGTTGCACTGATGGTGTAGCAACTTCGACGTCGCGATAAGCATCAGTGCAGTTGTCGTCTTGAAGAGACAAAGGTGAAGCTGCTCAGCATCGATGGGACTGTCGCCCATGCGTTGGCGGGGGTGAACGCGCCTCACCATACATACCAGCTTCATCGGACGCTTTCTTGAACAGAACGCGTGCTCAGTCCCAAACTTTACCTTGCCCATCGTTAGTGACAGAACAAACATCAACATCCCGTGAACACGGCGAAAGATCGTCTCGTAAAGAGGTGAAAGATTGAAGAGCACGCATGAGAACCAAGCCAAATGATGGCAAACGGGAAAGCTACGCATGCCAAGAGGACACCAAAAGGCACGCCAAGAGGCTCTTGCAAGGCCGGCACCGGAGCAGACGGCGAGCCGGAGAAACAGATGCATCATCGTGCGCAACAGCCAATAGGAGCTGCGTGATTGCCCACTACCTCAAGAAGCGCGCGCGCTTCCTCTAGTCGCGGCTTCGCATCCGAGTCGCGGAAGGCTTCAAAACTTCGAGAGCCCCCCAATCACGAGCGATTCTCGCTTCGGCCATGCCGCTGCTGCTGCTGCAGGTGGCGAAAAAAAAAAAAGAGCGAGAATTCACGAGCAGAACAAGATCAAGATGGCTGCTGGTCCGCGGGGTTAGGAAATTGCAAATGCACGAAGTTGGGCTATTTTCTGCGCTTGCTGGCCACTCGCCAGCTGTCGCGGCTTGTTATAATTTATTTGACGTACTTTCGCGATGAATTAAACATTGATATTTACAGAACACATAGTTTATAAGACATACTAACCAAATATGTGGTTTTTAAAAATTGACTTTTTTCGCAATTTTTTCATTTTCAAAGGCGCATCTCCTCTTAAATCAAGCAACATAGTTTCTAACACTTTTGGTGTTTGAGAAAAGTAATACTTGGTACAATTACAGGTTTTTCTAAAACAGCAGACTTGATTGGTCACATGAATTACGCCCCGCCGTGGTGGTCTAGTGATTATGGCGCTCGACTGCTGGCCCGATGGTCACGGGATCGAATCCCCTCTGCGGCGGCTGCATTTTTGATGGAGCCGAAAATTTTTGAGGCCCGTGTGCTTAAATTTAGGGCACGTTAAAGAACCCCAGTGGTTGAAATTGTTGGAGCCCTTCACCACGGCATTTATCATAATTAAATGGTGGTTTGCATAATTATTGATCACTTTAATTACACTGATCATACATGTATGTGCTTGAACGAACCATTAGGTTTTCTGTTTCATTTGAATTGGTAGTACTGTTCTTTCTATTTAACTTCAAGGAAGGTTATGCCGAGCGCTAGTTTTAATACGATAGTGCAGTCGCAATTTATTAACAGTCCCAGCTGCAGCAGTGGCTTGCAAAACTTCAGCCGCAACATTTATATACCGGTGTGACGGTCCTACTTCTCAACTTAGGCAAAAGTTAATGTTAAAAACTTGTCAAATGAGATACAAAAATTTTATTATGGCAAATCTCATTAAACATAAAACATATTTCAGGCTCAATGGACCATTTGATTATTAACCCCATATCTTGTCAAGTTCCCACAAAACAGCAGCCCAAGAGCCCAAGCATTCTTTCCATGAAGCACATCATTCACTTTACCATGTAATGTAGGTCTTGGTGGTGCTGAAAGCATGAACTTCTCCGGAATATATAGTAAAAAATGCGTTGCATATTGATTGATAACTGCCATATGATTATGATAGATGTTGTAGTGGAGGGCTCCAGAAATTCCGATTAACTGCGGCTTTTAATGTGTACCCAAATCTGAGCACATGGACCTGCAGCATTTTTGCCATTTTCGCCTCCATCGAAATGCAGCCGCCGCAGCCCGGATTAAATCCCGTAACCTGCGGATCAGCAGCCAAGTGCCTTAGCCACCAGACTACCGAGACGGGGCATGCGTCGAATATTTACACGGCCTGAACTTTCATACAGTTTAGTTACTAAAGCATCAGGGAAAATGTCACGTAATTGCAAATAATAAATGTGCTATGGGTAAATGTGAAGTGACCGACAATTACTAGGCTGAAGAAACTGAGAATGGGGCACAAGCATACGAAGAGCACCAAGTTCATTTTGTTTTCTGGAATTTTATAAATAACATGCATTCAGTGTTAATTTATTTATTTCATTGAATATAGTGTAAATACTCCATGTTAGAGGTATTAGCATTAGAAAATGTCAGACTGGTATCTTCTCCAAAAGACTTGCTTAAGAGCACCGGGAAAGCCCTATATGTCCCATGCATTTTTGGTCGTTTTGAGGTACCGTTTTCTCACTGACTAAAAGGGATATTCACACAATTTATGCATCATTTTTTTCCCACTTTTCTACTCTAATAACTGAAGCAGGTGTATTAAGCTATGACTAATATTAGAATCTTCATTATAATTTTTGCTGCTAGGACCTAAATCTTAGCTAATTGGCAGCTATGAAGATTTGTAACACAAACACTGCAAAGTGTATAATTTCAATTCTGCTTCAGTAGCTGTATGCATTCATGCAGAATACAAGGAAAAATAATCAACTGGTTATCTTGGAATAAAGTAGGAACTGATGGTACCTAAGTAATGAAAAACATGATTTTGAGATAATCGAGAATAAGTTAAAAACAACTGAAAAGTGAACACACTTTGTCACAAACACCATTCAACTTTTTTACTAGTAGCTACAAGCTTGGTAAGTATTGCCCAAGTCAATTTTTTACTTTCGAGCCTCTCGTAATGCTTGCCTTGTTCTTTTATGAGCTGTCATGCAGCTCTATGCACAATTCATCCGTCCATGTGTCTATCCATGTGCTAGCTAGCTAGCACATAAACAAATCAGGGGCCCTAAAGCTTCGCCTGTAGGAGTTGAACGCGATAGTGACATCTTGTTCGTAGTGCATACTTCAAACACTTAGTGCATGAAACCTGTTCGAATTTGCTACGCACCCACTACGTGGCCTTAAGGAATAGGTGCAGTAGTGTGTTTGCTTTTGTAGTGGGCTACCGGCTTTCAACCTCGTAGCCATTATGATAACCACATATTCTGACCGCCCGTTGGCAATGGACGCTTGACCACGCATTATTACTGCAATATATTTCATGTTGCATTGTGAAGCATATAATGGATGCGTGTGTTTGTAAAGCATGAAAGCTACTTTCACTGAATTTTCAAGCAGAGGAAGTTCTTTTACTGTTTTCGCAAGCAGAGGCGTGGCCGTGTGGTAGAACATTTGCTTGCCACGCAAACTACCCGGGATCGATCCCCACTCAAAC